TTGTTTCATTAGACCAGTCTTCTGCCCAAAGCCAGTTTTCCTCCTGCTAGTCCCCACTGTGCACTATCTGCAAATATGATACACATATTTTGAGAAAAAACTGTTTTCTGTCCTACAATCATGCACACTTGTTAAGTTCCATTTCAAGTTTTGATTTCCAATGATAATTTATATGATATAAGTGATGACATAAATATACCACTTTTCAACCTCATTCCTATGAGGACTTCTTAATAGGAGGCATTAATACACTTGACATTAAGCTGTGCATTAGGTTTCTTTAAAGATCACATAGGACACAGCCAGGGAAAGAGGAAAACAGAAAAACCGATAGGAAATAATTTACTAACAATTTCCCCCATTTGTACAACATTAGATCATGCAAAATACATCCTGTGATTTCTCATCTAGGACACTAATAACACGTATGTAGGCTACAAAACACAGAAATATTGGTAAGACAGTGGCAAATTGTATTAGAGAACTGGGAGGGCACTGGCTGCAGGAGGTGGCACACAGAATCACGGAATGGTTTGGGTTTGGATGAGACCCTAAAGATATCCAGTTCCGACCCCACTGCCATAGGCAGGGATACCTTCCACTAGACCAGGTTGCTCAAAGCCCTATCCAAGCTGGCCTTGAACACTTCCAGGGACAGGGCATCCACAACTTCTTTGGGCAACCTGTTCCAGTGCCGCACCACTCTCACACTAAAGAATTTCTTCCTAACATCTAATCTAAAGCCCTCTTTCAGTTTAAAGCCATTCCCCTCCTTTTTCTATGGCTACATGCCCTTGTGAAAAGTCCCTCTCCAGCTTTCCTACAGGCCCCTTTTAGTCACTGAAAGGCCACCATAAAGGTCACCCTGGAGCCTTCTCTTCTCCAGGATGAACAACCCCAGCTCTCTCAGCCTTTCCTCACAGGAGAGTGCTCCAGCCCTCTGATCATTTTCACAGCCTTCCTCTGGACCTGCTCCAACAGTTCCATGCCTTTCTTGTACTGGGGGCTTCAGAGCTGGGTTCAGCACTCCAGGTGGGGTCTCACCAGAGCAGAGCAGAGGGGCAGAATCACCTCCCCTCGACCTGCTTTTGATGCAGCCCAGGGTGTCGTTGGCTTTCTGGGCTGTGAGTGCACATTGCTGGGTTATGTCCAGCTTTTCATCTACCAGTTCTGCTAAGTCCTTCTCAGAGCTGCTTTCAATTCCTTCACCCCATAGCCTGTATCAGTACCAGGGGTTGCCCTGGTTTAGCACCTTGCCCTTGGCCTTGTTGAACCTCATGAGGTTCCCCAGGGCCCACTTCTTGAGCTTGTTCAGGTCCATCTCAGGCAAACCGGGTGCTTTTTCAAAGCAAAGACACACAGATAGTGACACTAACATGTACCATGGATCAGAGAAAAGGGCTTTTGCACCATAGAAAAATTAAGCTGGAATCATTTAAATCACAGAAGTCAGCAGTGAAAGAGAAGGATTGCCTTCTACATGGATTTGTGCAGACACTGAACTAAGCATGTGTCCCTTTTGTGGATCCTGCTGAGCCACTTCTCTCCTCCCCAGAGCTGCACCTCTTTTAGAGCAGCCACCACACTTCATCTCTGCCCATAGTAGAGGCTGGTTGAAGGCCTGAGGCATCTCCTTTGACTGATTCAGCATGACCAGGTGGAATCATGCCCCAGTACCCCCAGGAACTGACCATAAATGGAGACCAAAAAGCTCCATCAAAACAAGCACGTGTTTGTTATACAATGAGAGAAGTTTCATTTTCTAGGTGAAACAAAACCCAGGAAAGTGCACTCCCACATGCTTTGCTAGCTCAGCATACATTTGCTCACCTTAGGTGAGGAAGCTCCAGCTGCCTCTGTTCCACCAATCTCAACTGGAAAAAGCAACGTACACACACACTCAGGGTCTCCTTCGCAGAAGGGCACACGTGCTTCTTTTCAAGCCACTGCTTGCTTCCACTGATGCACATCAGCTCCTCACTTCACCTCTCCAAAAACTCTTTGATTTTTGCAGTCATACAGGCAGCAATCATGCAATGTCCACAACTCCTCATTTCCCTGGTCTGCCGTAATCTATCCAGAGATACAGTCAAGCACAGAGAATTTTGAAACCCTGGTAGGTCCTGTCATTAACTGCCAGGAAGAAGAGCATTTCTAAAAATGAGGATACACTTCACCTACTGTTGAAGTACCTGATGATGATGGAAATTAAGTGAGCCCAGCAATGAGTTGTTCCTCTACCACAAAGCACATGGAGGCTAAAATTAAAAAGCGGTCAAAATAACCAGGTGTGGTCCCACAGAAATGCCTGGATCCCACCACTGACTATGCACAGCACCACAAGCCCAGGTACACACTTCCAGAGTAAGCGGTGCAACAACAGTCATGGGGTGACCTCAGACTGGCTCTGTTGCTGCAGTCAGGCTGGCACCTGAGCACAAGTAGAAGCTCACACATCCTTAACAGAGAAATGGCTACGGATGTCCTTTAGCATCTCCCTTGTTCCTTGTCAGTGCTGACTTCCAGCATAGGGAGCATAGCAATTCACCTGGAGCACTTCACTGCTAAGCAAGAGAAAAATCAAATTTAAGGCAGCTCTGCATCCTTTGAATACAGCACCTATAGACAACATTCCTAAATCTCCGGCTGTGCTGGTGTCTGAAGATACACTTAATGCCTGAAACAACCTTCATGCCAACTGCTCCAGTTTACACCTTACAAGAGCCTACCAGCACAGCATATAGATGTCTGAGATCACCAGAAAAATCACTCAATAATTTCTCACTAGCATATCTTCAAAACTGTTGTGGTGACTTGAGCACAGTGGCATAGATAGGAAAAAACTCCAAACAAACGAACAAAAAACCCCAACAAAACCCCAATCCAGTAATCATAGTTTTTAGTCAGATTTTTCACCTGTTTATTCTATTGGCTTTAGACTCACTATATGCACTGATTGTGCATATACCTACAATCAGTTATGAAAACACTTCATTCAAGATAAAACGCTACTGAGCATCTCCACAGACAGTAGCCAGGTGATAATTTTAGAACAAAACCATATATGCATGGATCCGCTTCTTTGCACAAAGGGAGTTCACATTCCTCTACACACACAGGAAGAAACCTAGAGCCATTTCTAAAAGCTGCTCAGATTAGCCTTGCTGCTGTCAATTCCCACAGCAAGGGGGGGAAACCCAGCAGAAAGTGGTCTGGATTTTCAAGGACTCGCTCTGTCACCCCCAGAATTACAGCTGCACCCCAAGCAGAGCAGCATACTGACCCTGCAAAGCCACTCCAGAGAGCAAATCCTACCGTGTGGCTGCCTCAGTCCCGTCTCCCAAAAGACACCACCAGCCACAAGGTTTAGTAACACTTAAAATAGCCCAGCCAGCTCACAGCAGTCCATATAGACAGTTCTATTTCAAGCACATCCAACATACTGTTAGAGATAGCACAGGAACAACCCGCTTTCTTCACTAATGCTTGACATTTATCTGATGCTTTGACTATTTATGCTAAGGCAGTGTGAAACTGCAAGCTTGCACATTCAGCAGCTCGGACAGTCACAATGCAATTCCAGCACCAGTAAACTAGACGGTGCTAGAACAGCCCCTGAGCTCGTTAACTGAGACTGATCTGGAAGCTCATGTTAGCCACGGGAATCCCGGACCATGCTGCTCAGGCAGAAATTTATTTCAATGTCCCTCCCTGCAGACAGCCTCACCACCTCCTTATTTCTGACCAAATATTTTGCCCACTGCTGACTTACTTTTGGCCAAAGCCCAGGTGAGATTCTGCACCTACTGAGCTGACTTCTCTTCTTCACCTTGCCTCCCCAAACCCACCGCTGCTTCTCTATGGAGCACGCCTAAACGCCAGAGATATTGCTTGACCCCCTCTCCCCTAGGAATTTGTCTCAGCATGTCAAGTCGTTTTTGCCATGCCAAGGGCAGCCCTTGGGAAGAAGCAGGCTCAGGAAAGCTGAGCTAACAGCTAGTGTGGCGTTTTTTGCTTTATGCAGGGCTGCACTCATTTCCTCCTCTGCACCTGCTGTTCCATCGACACGGATGCCCAGGCAGTGTTCCGCTAGGCTTGGACACACACATGGCAGGCTCACAGGTGCCAGCCTTCCCTCTGCCTGGTGCACAGGGCTGGGGAGGACCAGGCACACAGCCCCACACCTGCCAACATGGCCAAGACTGGGTGAAAGCGTAAACGGGCTGAAACCAGATGAGCCCATAGAGATGGAGAGAGAAGGCACAGTGGAGGTTATGCCAGGGTGAGAAGCAGAAGGGCAGCCTCCCTGACACGCCAGGGGAGGAGAGGGATGGGTAAGGTCACAGAATCCTTTAAGGTTGGAGAGGACCACCAAGATCACTGACTCCAGCCATTAAGTCAACACTGCCAAGCCCACCACTAAGCCATGTCCTGAAAATGCCACATCTACATGGTTTTTGAACACGTAGAGATGGTGATTCAACTACTTCCCTGGGTAGCCTGTTCCAATGCCTGGCCTTTTCCATGAAGAATTTTTTAAAATATCCAATCCAAGCCTTCCCTGGAGCAGCTTGAAGCCATTTCCTCTTGACCTGTCACTTGTTACCTGGGAGAAGAGACCACCGTCCCTCACCTGGCTACAACCTCCTTTCAGGGAGTTGTACAGATTGAGAAGGTCTCCCCTGAGCCTCCTTTTCTCCAGACTGAACGCCCCCAGCTCCCTCAGCCGCTCCTCAGAGGACTTACTCTCTAAACCGTTCAGCAGCTCCGATGCCCTTCCCTGGACACGCTCCAGCACCGTTGGCCGCCCCCGCCCGCCCGAGCCCCTCGGGGCCGCCCCGCGCCCCCATGCGCCGCCCGCGGGCCCGGCCGAGGATACCCAGGCAGAGCGCCGGCCCCGCGCCCCCAGCCCTCACAGAGGGGCTCGGCGGCGCCTCCCGGCCTCGGCCTCACCCTCACCCGCCCCCAACTCCAGCACGGCTCCACCGCCTCCCCCCGCCTCCGCCGCCGGTCCCGCTCAGCCCCAGCCCCGTACCTGTACCCGTACAAGGCGCCTCGATAGCCCCGCTCCGACGGCTGCGCCCGCCGCTCTCTGGGACTTGTAGTGCGGCGCGGCCCCGCCCGGGACGGCGGGCGCCCTCCCCCGCCGGGGCGGCGCTGCCCCGAGAGGCCCTTCCGCGAGCGCCGGGCCCTGGCTCCGCCGCGCTGCTCCAGCCCCGTCCCGAGCCGAGATGGCTGCACCCGAAGGCACCGGCGACGCGTGTCTGCGGCACAACCCGCCCCGCCCGGGGCACGCGCCGGGACTACAGCGCCCACAGTTCCCCGCGGCGGCCGCGGCGGTTCCGGGCGGTGGCGGCGGCTCCGCGGCGCCGCGCCCTGTGCATGGCCGTGGCGCCGAGCATGGGCCCGGAGCGCGTCTGTCCCCGGGAGCCCGGGCTGCCGGAGGGCCCTGACGGCGCGGCGGGGTGGAGCGGCGACGAGGAGGAGGAGGAGGAGGAGGAGGAGGAAGGTGGCGGAGGGTACTTGTACCAGCCACTGAGCCAGGAACCGGAGCAGGGCCCCGGCGAGGCGGGCCCCGGCCTGCAGGAGCGGCTGCAGGTACCGCCCAGCGCCTCCCGCCGAGACGGGGTTGGGGGCACCCGTGGTCCCGAGCCCCGCTGCCCGCTTTTCTCCGCAGATGCTGAGGCTGCACCTGCCCGACCCGCCGACGGACAGCGAGGAGGAGGAGGACGACGTGGCGGAAGGCGCCGCGGCTCAGAGCAGCCGCAGCTCCATCCCCATGGATGCAGGTAACGGCGTGTTCGGCAGGGCCCTTTCGGGGCTCCGCCGCGGTCTCACGCCCTCTCTGTTCCCAGAGCATGTCGAGCTGGTGAAGAGGACAATGGCCAGCGTTAAGCTGCCTACCCTGGGCATCCCCGCCTGGGCCAGCCAGATCTCGGAGGAGCAGTGGAAGGACGTGGTGCAGCGCACACTGCAGGCCCGGCAGAGCCTCGGTGGTCCCCGGCCCGAGTGGAAGTGAGAGCTGAGCTGCAGCACAGGAGCTGCAAACCCCAGCCCTCCCTCCACCCTGCAGGCACCCGCTGCCTCCAAGCCAGGTGCTGACAGGACTTGCCAGTATCGACCTTCCAGTTTCTCCCACTGACATTGTCTGATTTACCTTCCCACTCCTCTTTCCTGGTTCTGGCTGGTGCATAAGTCAATGTGATGTCCTTGTGTTGGCTTCCTCTGCCTCTGAGGAGCCTGACTGGTTTCCATACCTGTGTGCATGTGGGGCGAGGGGACTTAGCTGGCTTTGCCCAGATTCCCTCAGGACAAACACTGGACTTGTCCCTGTGCTGACAGTACCTGAGAAGTCCCTCTCCAGGCTTGGGCCCCTTCTCCCAGGACAGGGCCTGTGTTGGAATATCAGAGGCAGAGCCAGATGTGTCATTCCAAGAGATTGGTTTTATTTAGTTCTGTACATACAGGGACATCTGTACAAAATCCAACACTTTCATACTATGTAATGCTCTACTGAAAATAAAGTACACCATATGTACATATGAACTGTAAGCAGCTTAATACTTGTGTCCAGGGGGTGAATGCAGTAGTTTTGCTTGTTCCCTTGGGAGGAGGGAGCCAGGTGAAGTGGAAGAGGCAGCTCCAGTTCCGTCCATTTGGCTGACATGGGGAAAGGCATAGGCAGAAATGAGCAGCACTGATGCTAGAAACCAAGTATTGAGCAAGGGGCAGCTGTAGTGTGGCAGATACAGATCTGCCAATGAGCAATACATGTGGTGAGAGGGTGAGCACACTCCCCCCTTTCTCACATGGTCCCCTTCTGAGGTGTCCAGGACACTGGAATGAATAGGCAGCAAACAAAGGGTGAAGGTACTAAGCCTAAGTTCCCTGACCCAGAACAAGACACACAAAGCTATGGGAACACTGAAGCTGTACAGCACGTAGTCATGATGCGTTAGAGTCCTATCCCTGCACATGGCATGACTCCAGCAGCATTCCTCTGGCCAGGCTCAGGGGCTGCCAACAGAGACAGACCATCTGCAGGACAGCGTCAGCCTCTGCACACCACAAGTCTCCGTTCCTTCTGCAGGCAGAGCAGCCTGCAGCAGGGAAAGGCTGCCCAGCAGCAAGCAGGCTTGAGTGAGGGCACACCATGCTGTAGCAATCTAAAAATGAGGTGTTGGCTTATAGCACAATGCTAAGAGCCAGTTGGAAAGCCTGCACCGAAAGGAAGAAGCATCCCGCCCAGCCTGAGCCCAGCAGTCCTCATCTCCACTGTGCCACTCCGGTGCACCATCTGGCATCACCTGGTGCATGTCTAAATGCTGTGCCAGGCGTGAGGTAATTGATTGGCAGCTGATAATGAGCTTGGAGTAATGTTCAGTGTAAGCAATAACCTCCCTGAGGTGTTCTAAAGTCTCCTGATGAACTGGCCTGTTGCGGAGGGGAGGTGGGGTCCTGCGTGACTGGGGGGATCTCACACACGCGCTCACCAGCTGCTCCGAAGAGATGGTGGCACCCCTTGTGAGGGCTGAGCCGAGAGAGACCTACACAGGGCAGGGATGCAGGATACAGAGGTAAAAAAAGCCTGGTTGGGGTTGGAGGAAAGATGTGCTGCACACCAGCAGCACATATTAGAGAGGATAAACCTCTGACCTGGGAATGGTTTACTAGTGAGGACAAGCAGATACACCAGAACCTTCTACAACATTCCACAATGCTGCAAACAGTGTCAGGCTAGCACCAGTGCCATAAGCTTCCTGCACTACTGCAAACCCACTTAAGCTTATGTGTCAAGAAAGCAGGTACAGCAGATAAGAAGCAAGGAGGACTCCCTTTTCTATCACAAGCCAGCCTCTGAGGTGGCACCTTGGCCTGGCACTGAATCTGCACCACAAAAAATAGGGGTGAAAGCTGGATCACAGTAGCACCCAAGTGCTGCGCAAGCCCCTGGGCTATCAGCAAGTGTGCTCTACATGCTAATTTAGCAGAGTCCCTGATGCACCAGTAATAACTAACAAGGGCCTCAGCTCAAGGGCCTCAGCGGGTGCCAAAGTAACAGGGCAAGGTGAACTTTGGTCAGAGCACCCATGGAAGCAATTCAGCAGTAACACTTGGCCGTTGATCATGACAAGGAGACAACTAAACACTCAAACTCAGCCACGCCCCATAAGGTGTATCCATTGCTTCCGCTAGCTTGCAGAAATGACTTCAGCAGCACAAGCTTCCTAGAAACCCTGGCCACTGCAGAGCTAAAGGTGGGATACAGAGACAGAGGGAGAGCTGCAGGAGTATTTTACTTGAGCAGGTAGAAGAAGAAAGCAGAATTCAGTGGCTGACACCTGTTACAAAGCGGGAAGTTAATTCTGGGCCCACAATTAACCCAAGACATCGGAATGGAGATGAGTCAGCACAGACCAACACAAATAGCTGAAGGAATCACTTTCCCACAAGAGAGCTTCTAAGGATGTCCGAAAGGGAGGGTAACAGTATGTAGTGCTTGCACCCAGCTTTACTGGGGGTGGCAAAGCACTGAACCCCCCACTCCACTGACAGAGGAACAAAACAAGAGACTTGGAAAAAAAGAAAGGTGGAAGCAAACATCTCCTCCACTGTACGTAAGACCCTTCAGCTGTGGAGCTGCACACCAAGGCAGCAAAGCCTCCACAAGCTCTGCTCCTGCCTCAAGCTCAGCCTGACCTCTGAGCACCACAGGGCTCAGCTGCACAAGCAGCACAGGGGCAGGCATGGCAGAGATTGGCACTTGGGGCTTGAAGCAGTATGCTGAGCCACGCATGGTTGTCTCTGGCCAACAGAAAGCCTGAGCAAGGCTCTGGCTTCCAGGCAGAGTAAGAAGAGGTGGCAGCTTGCAATGAAGTGAGTCCTGCCTGGACTGATACGATCAGAGGTCAGGCAGGCTCCCTTCATGCATGCACAGCCAAGGTGAAAAAGCAGGAGGACATGACAGTGGTGAGATACAAGTTATAACGTAAAACCAGATCTACCCTGGAGGTATGCAGATGGAGTGGAGGACAGGCACAGCTCACCACGTTCATTCCTTACTTATACATGAGAACCGAGTGCATTTCCATGACCCCTGGAGAAAAGGGATGGGGCAGAGCTTCTCGGGCCAGCCCCTGAGCCCGTCAGAGAGCCTCCTGGCTTGAGGTGAGAAACTCTTCTGCTCTCTTGTGGGCCTCCAGGGCTTTTATAGTGTAGACGTCCTGCGGAAGCTCAGATTTCCGGCGCAGCAAAACTTTGTCCTTCTTAATGTCTTTCAGCATCTACAGACAAACCAAAGGAGTCAGGGATCAGTAGCAAACCCCTTCACCTCTTCAGCCTCTGACTCCAACCACTCTAGAATATGCTGGATGACACTGCAGCATGCTGCAGAACAGTCTAAGAGCCAAACACAGACTAAAAGGACAGAGAAAAGTCCCACTCGCACTTTTTCCAGAGTGGGAAGGTTAGAGGGAAGATTAGATAAACTCTACTCTTCAGACTACAGGCTGATCTTTTAATGATCAGGGATGAGAGTAGGGTCATTTACCCTCAGAACACTTGGAAAGAGCCAGTTCTGGCTGTTGGACCCTGGACTGAGAGCAATTGTGGAAGGACTCTAGTCACCTACGCACCTGCACAGCCTCTGTCTCCACTGTTTTCTTCAGTAGCTGTATATCCTCTGCAGTCGGGGTCTCTGTTTCCATACAGCACACAGAAGGCAAGGGTAGAGGTGCATAATACATGGGGTACTGCAGACAACACAGATAACTGGAGAGTCAGCACTCCATACAACACCAAGCCCTCTCCCCCAGCATCCTAACATGACATGGCACACTTCTAGCTGCCCTCTCTGGCCCCCACAAAGGTAGTAGTAGGTACACAGACAGGAAAGCAGCATCCTCTCCTACCCATTCCTACCAATGCCGTCTGAGTCACAGCACACTGCATGCAAAGCGGCAGCTGAGAGCACGGCCCATAAACATGTATGTGCATTACTTAGAGGTCAGTGGTACAGAAGGCCAGGCTGATAAAACACTGTCAACATTCCCAAGACACTGGGTTTTGGGAGGGACAGACCACTGCTGCAGCAGTGTGCACAGGACTGGGATCAGGTGCTAAAGCCTGCTCTCATGGTCTGAAAAAGCAGGTTAAGACCTCCAGCACATTCTTGTCTCATTCATCCTAGGTTCTGTTGTCACAGAGTCACAGATTATGCTGAGTTAGAAGGGATCCACAAGGATCATTGAGTCCAACTCCTGGCCCTGACAGGACCATCCCCAAGAGTCACATCATGTCCCTGAGAGCATCGTCCAAATGCTTCTTGAACTCTGGCAGGCTTGGTGCTGTGACCACTTCCCTGGGGAGCCTGTTCCAGCACCCAACCACCCTCTGGGTGAAACACCTTTTCCTAATATCTAACCTAAACCTTCCCTGACACAGCTTCAGGCCATTCCTTCAGGTTCTGTCACTGGTCACCACAGAGAAGAGATCAGTGTCTACCCCTCTTCTTCCCCTCATGAGGAAGTTTTAACTGCAATGAGGTCTCCCCTCAGTCCCCTCTTCTCCAGGCTGAACAGACCAAGTGACCTCAGCTGCTCCTCATACAGCTTCCACTCAAGGCCCTTCACCATCTTCATTGCCCTCCTTCAGACACTCTAATAGCTTAATATCTTTCTTATATTGCAGTGACCAAAACTGCACACAATATTCAAGGTGAGGCCGCCCCAGTGCAGAGCAGAGCGGGACAATCACCTCACTCGACCGGTTGGCAATGCCTGATGCCCCCAGGACATTGTTGGCCCTCCTGGCTGCCAGGGCACTGCTAACTCATATTCAACTTGCTGTCAAGCAGGAACCCCAGGTCCCTTTCCATGGCACCGCTTTCCAGCATCTCATTCCCCAGTCTGTACCTACATCCCAGGTTGCCCCATCCCAGGTGCAGATTCCGGCACTTTCCCTTAAACTTTTTATGGTTGGTGATTGCCCAGTTGTCACCCACCTGAGGGTTCAGCCGGGCCAGCTCCTCTATTTTCTGCCACATTTCTTCTCGTTCCTTCATCCTGAACCTTCCCCTGCAGAGAGAGAGAGATCAGGTGTGAACTCCTGGGGAAAGTGCAGCTTTCACTCACTGGATAACAAAAGCAAAAGACAGCAGAAAAATGCAGGCAAGGGGAAGAGCTGCCCTGTCCTTCAGAGACCCCTAATTCTACCTACAGGTGACATGAGGCAAGAAGAGGGGACAAACTGCAACTAGCAGAAGGTAGGCAGGCACACTCCTCACTCACCTCAGAGCACATGGTGGCAACAGTGGGCTGCACAGGTACTTTTTCCCTGTCTTTGTGCTGCAGGAGTGGACCAGAGTGTCTGGTTTCTGGGGTAAAGCAATGACACTAGTCTGGATTTCAAAGACACATTTTCCTGGTGCCCCAGAGATGCAGAGGGACAAAATGACATTTACAATAGAGCTGGAGTTCCACTGCCCACTGTTACCTCTGTCTCTAGCCATAACACACCAGAGAGCTGCCCAAACCCTCCAGGCACAGCTCTTG